CACACACAAAACACACACACACAAACACACACACAAAAACACACACACACAACACACAAAAACACACACACACCACACAACACACACACACACACACACACAACACACACACACACACCCACACACACACATTCTCTTTTAAACATTAATATGTTTTGGATGCATATTGTTCTAGTATTTGTTCAGGCTGTTACATAGGCTACAATTAGCCTCTGTTGCTACCTGCTGGTGGTGAGTAAATATTAAAATCAGTTCAAATTGACAACCGGTCCGCGATTTTTTTTTAATGTATCTGCCGGTCCTTGGCACAATAAAGGTTGGGAACCCCTGGTGTAGACAGTTAATTAAAGATCCATAAAGATATAACTGCACAGTCCAATAATTGTTGACATGATGTGTTTAAGTCCTCTAGGATCAACAAACGACATATCGCTACCTGGTTGATGCAGGAAAAATGGTACCAACACAACTGGCGCACATGCCTAAGATTTCCTGGTCAGAAACGAAGGAACGCAAAGTCAGGTAAACAATTTAGAGGGATGACAAACGGCTCATTTCGGAGGACTGGGGGGGGGGACCAGCGACCCTCCCCGACAGGCGCACGGACACGAGGGCCCGCATTAGCTACATGTGTGACCACAGTTTTAATTATTATTATTATATGAATATAAATATTTTAATTATTAATATTACTGTTCAAAATTATATAATGTTATAAAGACAGAAATCACTTTAAAAATATGTTTACTGTTGATATTACTGTTTAATATTGTGTTAAGAATGTTTATAACAGAACACACAATGAATGTAATGAATGACAAACAAAAGATAAATACAAAAAATGTTTAGAAGAATAACTGATTATTAATGCAAATATATATTAAGAAAATGTATTAAGCTGTATGATTAATTTATCATATTTTCCATCATAATGTACTCATCATTTAAAAAAAAAATTGCAACAGGGGGGTCCCCGCCAGAGGATAATGCAATGTGGGGGTCCTTGGCATGGCAAAGTTTGGGAACCCCTGCTCTAGAGCAGTGCTTCTCAAACTTTTTTCAGTAGTGTACCCCTTTGAAACATTTTCTCAGCCAAGTACCCCCTGACCGATCCCGAACATTTTTTTTCGAAAAAGCCTATATAAATAATTACAATATAGTGATGTTCCCTCAGTGTGTGATGTATTAACTCCTTCGTGGTATGCATTACAACAAACTAAGGATATTTTCATTTTATGCATGAAAAAAAATAACATAACACTTTTATAAAACAGATTTTTCCAAGGAGTTTTTCAATTTAAGTAATATGTTATTGTGAAAAACTATAAAATACAATACACACATTTGACATGTTTATATGAGGACCCCCTTGGTGGTTCTAGGAATGTTTTATATACAATTGTGTTTTCTATTTAACTTATTTTACTAAGATTCTTTTTTTAATTAACCTTTTTTTTTTTTTTTATCTCACGTACCCCCTGCAGTACCCCAACGTACCCTCAGGGGTCCGCGTACCCCCATTTGAGAATCACTGCTCTAGACTACAGAATGTTGGCAAAAAAACTAAACCAAGGTCAGGCAGTGACAGCCTCTAAAGTAGTAATACTTATAACATAAGAAAAATAGGATAAACTTAACTTGATATTTGAAGGAAGTCCAGTAATACAACTACAGAATGAATGAAACTCCTCTGCAGCACAACAGTTTCAAACTCAAACTGCTGATTTACCAACCAGCCTCTTTTGTTCAGTTCTGTCAAACCCTTCTTTATAAACTGAACTCAACATAATATGAAAGACAAAGTTTGACATGTTGAGTAAAAGGCTTAAAGTTCTCAAAGTCTATCCTGGCTGCTTATAGTGTTGTGGTAAGTCTCATAATATATATTTGTTTCGTGAGCACAAGGAAATGGAAGTGGTTAAATTAATGATTTAAAAAATGCTATGTTTACAATGTAGGAGTGTGTTTATTTGTAAAGTACACTGGACCTTGTGTAAGGTCAATATGATTTGTTCGCTAAACAGATAACTAATGCAGATTATTATTAATCAGCTCAATATTATCAGCAAAACCATTGTACACCAGCCGGTACTATTGTGGAGGCTTGTCAATATACAGTGATGACGTGTTTTTGAAGGACGCCCCAGACGTTAGCCTTGCAAGGGCTCCCTCAAAAAAGAGCAATAGGATTTGTTCTTGGATTTTAGAATATAGCAGAGATAAGCCTTGTATCAAACAAATCTTTAAGATACTTACACGATTTGTTCAGCAGGATAATCCTCCCATATTAACACCACTTTTAGGATTTCTTAAGCGTAAATACAATCGCAAGAAGTAAAAAGCAAATGGCAATAAAGGAACAACATCACAGTCACATGGCTGCATCACCATTGCTAAGCTAAAGGTGGCTAATGTTCGGTGCAGTGATGTTTAGTTGTCTCATTAAGTCACTCGTTATCGACCGCTGACTTTTTGACACAGAGGCTACAGATGTTCATGAGTGGGGTTACTACATTACTGACATATTTTATTTTGTAAAAACTAAACTCTAAAGAAAAAACTAACCAAACGTGGTACATTGCTTACTCATTTCTGGGTTTAAGGGCTAATTCATGCACCACTCTATGCTGAACGACACCACCATCAAACCAGAGGCCCGTTTATTTCTGCTTCACAGACCATATGGATTTTGGTTTCAGTGTAGCAGTGAACTTTTGACGGATATGAAACACATATCAAATGTTTGGATTTCTAGTAGTTGTTGACAATAAACCAGCGTTAAGATGCAGATGTGAGTTACAGAAGGGACCGAGGTCAGTTAATGAGTGGACAGAATGAAGACAGGAGCTGTGAGACCCACCTGCAGCATCCTCCTCCTGATTCAGGGTCACCCGGATGTTCTTCACCAGCAGCTTCCAGTCGTGGGCGCGGGGGGGTTTTGGGGGTGAAACCACATTGTTGCCTGCACCCTATTGGAGAAATTATTATAAAGTAAATAACTCAAAAATGTTGATCTACAGTGCGAAATATTATTAGCAACAATGTAAGTAAAGTAGAATTTCCCAGCTTTTTCAAATATAAGCAACACAGTTCTATACAAAAAATACATAAATCAAAGCTTTGAAAACTACCTCCGAACTAAAAACACCTTTCAGTGGGTCAAATTGCATCATTCATCTTAAACACTGTTGGAATAATACATATACAACTTTTTAGGGGAATAAAACTTCTACTAGCTTGTTTAAGGCTCCCAAGCATTGTAATGTGCTGTGTATTTGTACCATGCTGTAAGAAAGACAATATAGACGGGAATACTGTATGTAAATCACCTGTGCTGACACACTGAACTCTTGCCAATGATTTGCATAGGATTTTCTGGTAACACTTTATATTAAGGTACACAAATTAACCATCAACTAGTTGTTAATTAACATGCATATTAGCAGTATATTGGCTCTTTATTAGTCATACTAGCCTGTACACATGCTTATTGCACAGCTAGCATTAGCTATATTTACCTTGTTTACACTTAGCGGTACTAAGTGTTAATCTGTGTATGTTACACTTGCATGTATGAGATCATTAAGTGCCTTGTATCTTCTTTTTGTATAGTTTCACTCCGTTTGAATGTCAGTAGACTGCAAATAAGTCAATAAAGGAGCATGGCTGCTCATTCCCTGGCTCTCAAAAGAGTTTGGCTGGCTGTTTAATCTATGTTCACACTGAGACAGTACAACACATAGAGAGATTAGTACACCTATAGTGTAAGTACATACAAGCAGGTCACACAGTATGATCACAAATAGATAAAATCTGTTTTTATTAAAAAGTACAGGCTGCATGTTTTGGTATGTGTCTGAACCTCTCTTTAGTGGTTCTTTAATAAAACAGATATTTCAACGTGTGCCTACTTTGTTCATGTACTGTTGAGGTTCATTTCAGTAGCTGTGTGCTATAATGTATTTACAAAGTGTGAAGAGGAGGCAACCTCTTCAACTCTGTATCCATAAGCCCCCTCCCCTCTCAACCAACTTCCTCCTGACTGCTTTTCTGTTTCTTTTTGGTTTTGTTTGTCTACCCTCCCTCCCAAATGTAAAGCGTCTTTGGGTTCAAGAAAAGCGCTATAGAAATATAATTTATTATTACCTAAGAATAGGGAACCTGTTCAGGTCAATTCGAGTCAAACTAATAGCTTATTGGCTATGAACAAGACTTCACTTTAAAATAGGGAACATGTTATTAGATATAAATACCTAATTTTGAGTTATTTAGACTTAATTAACACTTATAGTTTCATGTCTTGTTAAATAAGAATAGATCATATTTGTTAAGTGTTATTATGGGAGAATTACTATTCTTGTGGTACTGCTGCCTTATTAGGCCCATATTGAGCATATTAAGACAAACTCATGTACAACAACTTCCTTACTTGCAACAAATAAGCACTAATTAGAGGGTTATTGAGGAAAAACTCAACTAATGGCTTATTACTTGTAGAATATGGTCACGCAGAATAAGGCATTAATAAGTGTTTTATAATGACTAATAAAGGGCCAATATACTGCTAATATGCATGTTAATTAACAACTAGTTGATGGTGAATTTGTGTACCTTAATATAAAGTGTTAGCGATTTTCTTTATGACCATGGAGAATTTGCATCAGCCAGGGTTTTCACCTTTTAGCCAAATATTCATTCAGGTTTTTTCTACACACACTTAAAAAGCCAAAGAACATGAGTGTATCTGATATATTTTCCAACGTGTCCTGGTTCATTATTCTCAAAAAGACAATTTGGCTGTTTTTCAGTGAAAATTCTAAACATTTGAACAGTGTTAATTTCGAGGCTTGATAAATCAGCGTCACGTGACATTAGGTAATGTCAATCAAATCTAAACATTAGTGGCTGCTTTAATAGGGCATGTGCAGAACGAGATCACAAACTGTGAATCCTTTATGCTTTAGTGGATACACAGTAGCTTCGGAGATTTGACATAACTCCAGTATCTGTATTGCCATCAAAAGGAATGTGATACCAGTTCTAATTAGTTTCCTTATGACACTTGGATAAAAAAGTAAATATTAGTACATTTTAATAACTTTCTCCGGTGTGGAAACAAGTCGCAAACACACAACATATCTGTCTCTTTAGCTTCTAATGATAACACTATGTTTACCAGCTAGTCTCTAACTGCCATCTGGTGCAGCACAGGAAGTGTATAGCAGCTTTTTGAGTTTAGTTTTATTCTAAACTACACTTTGTTTTTTGCAACACAATGAGAACAGTGAGAGTGAAACCAAAACAGTGAAGTTATGGGTATTAAAACGCACCTTAAAGTGAAACTTTATATAGGTAAACTCATTATAAAATCTTCTGTAAACCCAGGGGGTGTTGCAGTTTCAGCTGATCAATTAGGATTAGGTTCAATAATACCTTCACATTGTCATTTTACAACATTACTATGACAAAAATATTGATTGCAGATCCTAAGTCTTTCTGTCAAATGACACGATACTATAATCAAAGGCCTGGGATGACAGACGTGCACACACTTGTCTGCATTGCTTTGTTGTGCGTTGGCAGCTGTTCAGATGTCATGCATCAGCATCCTGAACTCACCTTGAGCTGTGAGGCCTGAGCAGGCCTACAGCTGAGCAGCACAGAGGGGCGCGCTGCACACAGCAGCCCCCTCAGCTGCTGCTGCAGGGCCGCTGCACGGCAGGAGGAGGCATGGTCCTGGCAGAGAGAGGTCAGAGAGTCAGACATGTCCCACAGGACTGGAGCAGATTGACTAGGACTGCACAATTCATGGAAATCTTATTGAAATTGCAATACGGACTAGTGCAATATCCAAATCACAGTAAGCTCAATATGAATTAAAGGCTTCATATTTTAAAAATCAATCTGAATGAAGTATTGCGGAACTGCATTAACATGTTGTTGGTACGGACCATCAAAAATAACAATCACATCATCATTTTAAATTGAACATTTCAATAATATTTGTTTTTGTATGGATCATTCCGTCTAGTATTAGGGGTCATATTGCAACTGCATTGTCATTGAAATTATTGCAATTAGTTCTTACTGTTGTTCAGCCATAATATTGACTGTCTTTCACCGAAGGATAACTTTCTCTAAGCAGGTCAAAAACTACGAAAAATAAAGTACACTTTCAACAATGTTACATGTTCAGAGGACTTCCATTTACCTGGGTGAGGGTGGGGGTGACCTGTAGCACCCCCGAATCCAGGTGCGTCACCCCCCAGATCACCTTCACCTCGTCTTTAGCCTCCTGCATCTGAAGGTCCAGCTGAGGGACACAGAGGAGAGAAAACCAAAATGCCTTATGATGCCAGGGTTCTCAGAAAGCCTTCAGTGCTCACCAGCTTGACTTATTCTAACATCTATCAATTATTTAGTAATAAAACTGCCATTTATAATGTCTATAATGGTTATCTAAATATGATGTGGAACATAATGACCTAATTCTTTAATAAATATGTTCCTGTGGGCTTTTGGCCTCTCATTTGAAAGTACATCAGTCTAGTTGTATTGTTTAATGACTCAAATGTCGAACCATTAAGCAAGCCTTAAATTGTCACCACAGCAACAGTTTTCATAACAGTAAATATCATGCATTCATTTGATGACTAACCTAAATGGCAACACTCAATCTCAGACTGAATCAAACCTATTCTCAGCACATGACTCTCTCAATCTCTTCTCCATGGCAACCTGTGGATGGGATTAATGTGTGCGCTTTGATGTGACAAAGTGTAATTCATAATTATTCTTTAGATTACATTTTGTGTGATTGTTTGAATTGAATCTTGCATACCATTAGTTACAGGAACATTTTCGAAAATGGTGTTTCTCCTAAAAGCATGCCCTGCATTCTAAATCAGTTTATTAAAACCCTGAAGATGACATATCTCCAGTTTTCATCTCAAACAAAACACTAACGCTCTGTAAACTCTACTTATCGTATGCAAACTCCAGACTGACAAACAAGAAACGCTCATTAGAAAAGGTCAGCAAGGTGTACATCCTCATATCTGAGAGAGAAATTGAATGAAGAATAATGGAAATAGACAGAAACCTGCCTGGGCCTTCATGTCCCAGCATGCCTGGATTCCAGCGTGAGGCTGAACAACGGCCTCTGTGCTGCCAAACAAAGCTTCATCAGAGAGCAGGAGAATGCTTAGATGGATCCAGAAGAACAATATCACAGGCTGCTTTGATCCCACCCGGATCACTTCATACAAACAGTGTTATGTGGGAGGCTACCATAATTATAAAACTCAATCCACATGGAGCGAAAAGAGAAACAATGATGCTTATTGAAAAGCTGTAACCATCCAAATAGCTCCGATCATCTAACTAACCATGATCAATGTTTCTCTGTGTAGTATGTGTATTCACTCTGTCCTAACGCCTTGTTGAGAAAAGATAAGGCTGAGTGAGTGAGTGAGTGAGTGAGTGAGTGTGTGTGTGTGTGTGAGGAGCTCCACAGATTGGTCCATTTGGACCTGGGTATGGTCACGTCACCATACTCAGGAAGAAATAAATGGAAAAAGAGAAATGTCCAACGAGGCGTTCTGGGGCAGCACAGACAGGTCTTCTCTGTGATAGAGTTTTACTCGCTACAGGGTGTACTTTCAGGGTTTGTGACTGCAGACCGTTTACATGCAGAACAAGCTTCATAACACAAGGGGACGGGTAATAACCGGAAAAGCAGGACATGGGACCTGTGGTGCTACTCCTTTGGGATGATGCATGTCACATGTGTGTCCTTCAGCACATGCAGCAGACCATGTGATGCAGCCATGTGTTAAAGACAAAGTACACTGAGCAGTTCACCGGGTGCGTTGCTGTGTCCCTGCACTGTGAATACCAGAGGCCTCTGGTCCGCATATCCCAGCACCCCTAACATGACGGGCCAGGACTATTCTAGTATGGATCAGAGTGAAAAGCTAACAAATGTTCCAGTGGATGGATGGAGACATTTGAAAGGCCTCTCTGACTAAGCTGAAACAATTATAGTGAAAAGAGGCTTCCTTTATGTTCCCGCCGCAACAACTGATCCCAATCAAAACAAAAGCACCCTGGCTCTAATCCTGACTTTAGCTCCTGAGTCTCTCACTCAAGTTGTATTTATGGCACAATGAGATCAGGGTGGGTGACGACAAGCAACTTATCCCTTTAAAAATAGCCTTAACACAATTGGGTTAGCTTGTATAGCTGCTTGAATGCATACTTTGGTGCAGACTTAACACTGAAAGTAAGAACAGGAGGAAAGCTTACTACAACTTAATGAACACAAGCTGTTACATATCCCATCACACAACCTTTCACTCACTTCAGTTAAATACCGCATCTGAGTCTGACGCATAAAGAGGGTTTGGAAAGACCACGATTCACCTTTTGGGATGATAAATCAAATGAATTGCTGCAATGTTCAGATGAAGACAAGGTCATCTTTAGTCATTTGTGTCATAACTTCAGTATTTCAATGGTTCTCTTGATGAATGTCAATGTAGACAAAGAGGGCTAACTTTGGAGGGGGGTCTGACAGTGATTTTTGTTTAGGTCTTCTTGACATTTGCCAAGCACAGAAAAACACCCCATCATTTCATCTAAGACTCCTGCCAGGCCCGCAGTGAGCCAGCACAGGGCAGCACTTGATGTTCAATAAAACCTCCCAATAAACTAAACCATATTGACATCCAAAGAGTGTCTGCTTTCAAATGCCTCAGAGCTAAGTGGATATTTAGTAGATGACAACTAAGTATTGTTTACTTTCATGAAACTTAAACAGATGCCTCAGAAGGAACTAAAGAGTAGTTACCTGCAGCTCCAGTGGAGCGATACACACTGTGTATTTACAGGGCTCTGCTGAAGGCATGGCTGTGGAGGCTGCACTGACAGAGAACTGAAGCTTCTCCCCGATCACACTGCAGCAAGCGGCCTGTTGGGAAGACAAAGTGAGGCATGAGTGTTACATAAATACAGTTAGAATGCTGGAGCTAAAGCAGGGACAGCGTTGTAGACTTGCATGTAGTTGTTCTATGTAACAAGAAAACATATCCAACAGCGAGGTAAACCAGAATTTGTAATAAGCTATTGTAAAAGTGCTGTTTTCCTATCCACATGTAAAAGGAACTAGAAGGATTTATTGATACTAAGGGCAGTAGAGAAAAGTTTAGAGCTTTTTCCATTAACGTTGAAGTTCAAATTCTCAATAAACACTTGAATGCTGTGCTGTCTTTCTATTTACTTGAATGTGTGAATTCATTCAGTTGGGTAGGTAAGCTTGGGATGGATATATTAAATATATACATACAAAAAACTAGAGACTCTTTCCAATGAAAGTAGCTAGCCGCAATAGCTCCAAGATTGCTATATCTAGTTTGTAGGTCGCCAAGTTGGCATCATTGACAGTTCGTCTCTTAAAGCCTCTAAAGCTCTGCAACAAAAAAGGATCATTATGAATGTAAATACTATACATGGTAATGCAGCAGGGCATAGTGCGATGAGGCAGGCAGGCAGAACCAGATTTATTTCTAAATATTTATCGATCAATATTAGGCTACACTAATATAAGGCTACTAGTATTATAATATTACTGCAATAATATTCCAGTGGTGGCTGCTTAAGGTTGTTTCTGGCTCGTTTGATCCAAACATTGTCTAAAGCTCAAAATGTATTGTAATAGATGTAAGAATTCTCAAAATGTACAATATGTTTTGATCCAACACAATATTCTGATTCAATCCATATATGTTAGGGTTTTTTTTAAACAACATTTTCACCACAATAAATAGACTGCCTTCTCTCCAGCTCACCGCACACAAAGGGGGGGGGGGGCATCTGTATTAACGGGTCAGTCTATAAGCACTCTAACAGCACCATAAATTACATTTAAACAACCACAAAAAAACAATTATTGTTTCTGATATTGATTTAACGAGATGCTGTTATAACATGGAAACGGCTTAATTTAAAAAAAATAAGCTTCAAAAATGTTTTATGAAGCACACTGGGAACAGAACTAAACATGGTAAAGCAGCGTTCAGTTATTATGCTCCAAATATCTGGAACAAACTCCCAGAAACCTGCAGGTCCGCTACAACTCTGACTACTTTTAAATCCAGGCTGAAGACTTTTCTTTTTGTCGCTGCTTTTAATTGAACTATTCATATCTTAGACTGCACTGTAACTTTTATCCATGTACTTTTTCTTTTAATATTTATTTTATTAGCTTTTCTTTTTAATGACTGATTTTAAATGCCTTTTTCTTAATCTCTTTCGTTTTTTGTAAAGCACTTTGAATTACCTTGTGTTGAAAGGTGCTATATAAATAAACTTGCCTTGCCTTGCAGCCCTGTAATACATGTGTTCCGTGTGTATATAGTCTTGCGCAAGAAACACATAGCATGAACAGACTGCAACAAAACCAGTCTTACAAAACAGACTTCTGCTAAACTGGTGCAGAAGCAAAGCATCTGCCTTAGATGAAGTTCACACAGAACTGTGGAAAAGGGAGAACATCTGTGATCAGAACATTCAATAAATCATTTTCACTGCAAAGGAATTTGTCTGTAATAGAGTAAATAATAAAACAGCTTTAAAGTGTCCTCTAAGTATTTAAAACATTCATTGCATTCATTCTGATTTGAGTGGAAGATGGGTGTGTTTGTGTACAGTTGAGTATTACATCACTGTGAGGGGAAACCTAAGCATAAACAAAGGTGCTGCTGCATTCCTGTCTGCTGCTCCTCCTCCTCCTCCTCCTCCTCCTCCTCCTCAGTGCTGAGCCTGACAGCTATGTAAGCTTCTTGGAGCACAAGCACACACACACATACACAGCATGTGGGTAAAAAATAAGCCTCTGCTCATTAAACTCCCTGCATTCCCCAACAGAGCACCTGGTATTTCGCTCCATAACATGATGGTCACAAAGAAAGAAATGGCTGAGTTTGCATTGGGATTCCTGCAAAGCCAATCAGGCCAGCAACACAGCAAGTCCCTATCTGAACCGTCAGAAAATAAAAGCCCTCCGCTGGCAGCTTGTTTTGCACAGTCTGCAGCAGGTTGGAACATTATCAGAATGACTGAAGCATCATACAAGTTCTTCAAATCTTTTTTAAGCAGGGGAATTCATTTATAGTGTCGCTGGATTTTTGAGTGAGCATGTGGACACATGAAAAAAGGCTATGCCGATTCATTAGCAAGTTAATGAGGGAAGTGTTTGTACAAAAAGTTGGTGCTTGTCTATGTTAGTTTAAATGCAGCACTGGTGGAGCTTTTCCACTCAATGTGATAAGGGGAGATTGACTTGAAGAATTTGTTTTGTATTTGAGTATACAAACAAGGAAATACAAAATACGTAAGTGTCTGCTTCTTTAACCCAGATGAATGCTGAAGTTGCCATAAAAACAGAATCCAATGTGTTCGGTGGTTTGGAGGAAGGGGACGCAACACTCAACAATATAATAATGAATGCCGTTATCTCCCAGAAAAAGCCCTTATGTATTACTAAAACAAAGGGTCAGTTTACCTTTTTTCCCTGCAGACTTTTGAAAGCTGGATACTTGGCTGACCATTAGTTCTGACGCCTCAAGGTCATCATCTTCGAATGTTAACCGAACAGGACCCTGATGAGGAAGAGGACAGAAACATTCAAACAACAGCACATGGGAAGAAAATAAAGTTGTTGCAATCAAATGAGCAATGATCTGGGCTGTGAGGCATCACATTGGAAATGCATAATGTTCCCACGTGATAATACCTAGGAACAGGAAAACAGCAGGGTGGTGCAAATGTTACAATGCTGTCATTAAAAAGAAGCCAGGATAATGGTAGATTGATGACGTCCACTTTGAAACAGATGTCAAATATCGTCCACAGTGAGTCTAGTCGATGTGTATATGTAAACCTTTCAATCTTGAATCAAAGGACGGGGGAGATTCTATTGCTGGGTCCTCAACTATCCATGTGAGAGGATACATGAGATCACAGTCACATCCTATGCAAACTGCACCTTCTTTATTGGAGTCACCTGCCTGCCACACAGAGAGTGGTGGCTGGCTGATCATGAGACTTACCCCACTCTTCTTCGATTGGTCATTCAATGCCCTGCACCAAGCTCCTCTCCACTGACTCTTCCAGCTCCTCTGTGACAGCGCCCATCCCAGCAGAGCCCCGGCTTCCTCCTTCGCCGCATTGTCCCCTGCTGCTGTCTGCCTTTTCCCTACACCCCGACGCTGGACATACTGTACGAAATACACTATCAATGTAACGAGGGATGCGAAGAAAAGTGTGACCATGCATAACCACTGCGGGTCCTCCAAACCGAAAAATGAACCGGAACTTTCGGAGTCGGACATTCTTTGCAAATGAAAGCGATGATCGCAGCTTAACACACCTCCTCTGAGAAATATCCTGGCAACCTGATAGACCATTCGGTCGGGGAATCAGTGAAATACATCTCCCACAGCTGATATCACCACGGATCTCAGCCCCCACAACGAACTATGCATATTGTGATTCATGTTGCAGTGCCCCATAATAGCTTTAAAAAGCCGTATATATGTCCCAAGTCTGTGCACGGTGTTTAAAATAATTATATTATTGTCCTATACCTAGACCACAGTTTCGGTTCAAAATAAACGTAGAGAACAGCGCACTCTCCTTCTCCCATTCAATGTGGTTGTTAGCTTAGTTAGCTAATCTTCGATACGCTTCGCTTAAGTAGCTATTCTTCATTAGCTATGGAGTCGCCAAAGTTTTTAAACAGGAACTATTTCCGTAGTCTCAAGTTAAACTCCGCGGCACGATATCCAGATATAGAACCAGAGTCCCGGGTAAACATCCTGAAAGCGGAGCAGTGCAGTTGTTGCCGCTGGACTCGCTTTGCGGCTCGGTGTGACTGTACAAACTAGTTGACGTTTCTAAACGGATATGTGGCACAAACTGTAAGTCCCAGAATGCAATGCGACTGTTTGCGAGAGTTTGTTGTTGTCCGGTCGTTGTGCGAAAATAAGCCTATTTTCCAACTGCAGACACCTCATGGTAACGTTTATTCCAACTAGAAACGCCTATTTGAGCTGTATAACCCAAAACTAAATCTCACTTAAAAGAAGCCGTTAAGAAAGAAAAAAACTATTCAGTTACTACTTCAGTATTCTGAACCTCGTGACTTGCCGTAGATTGTCCTACTGTCATCATTACCACATCTTGCTGCCCCATTTGTTAGCAAACAACTAGCTAGCTTTTATTACAATGTCCCAGTCGTCCGTTCGTACACGTGGTATTTATAGTTAGCTTAGCCGTTATGAAAACTAATATTTTGTGTTTTAATGCAGTGTAATTCAGCGTGAGGGATAGGCGCCGCCCATCTGTAGAGGTAAACAAAGTGTATCTTCGTCATTCACCGAGCATAATCAAGCTCGGACACAGGAGCCATCATTTTGTCGTCGTCAGTAAATGGAAATACTTATTAATTAGCTATGAATTGCCGCTCAGAGGTTCTTGAAGTAACAGTGGAGGCGAGGCAGGTGGAAGAAGCTATGCTGGCTTTGTTGCACACCATTTTACTGCATCGCAGCTCCGGGAAGTTTCACTACAAAAAGGAGGGCACCTACTCCATAGGTACCGTGGGCACACTTGACATCGACTGCGACTTCATCGACTTCACCTTCGTCCGAGTGTCCTCCGAAGAGCTGGACAGAGTGATCAGTAAAGCTGTGTCTGAGTTTAAGGTAATTGGTGGTTAAAATGTCTGATTGTTGACTGTAATGCTTGGGCAGGCCTGTTACATGTTTGACGATTGTATCACATGCTTTTGTTACAGGACGCTTTGAGCAACACTGGCAGCGATGGCATGGGGCAAATCTCCCTGGAGTTTTACCAGAAGAAGAAGTCTCGCTGGCCTTTTTCTGACGAATGTATTCCCTGGGAAGTGTGGAGCATCAAGGTCAACGTTGTCAACCTGGCCAATGAGCAGGAGAGGCAGATCTGCAGGGAGAAAGTGGGAGAGAAGCTTGGCGAGAAGGTGATCAATGTTGTCGAGGTCATAAACCGACATGAATACCTGCCAAAGATGCCCACCCAGTCTGAAGTGGACAATGTTTTCGACACCAGTCTCAAAGATGTCCAGCCGTATCTTTATAAAATCACCTACCAGATCACAGACTGTCTGGGCACCTCTGTCAGCACTACAGTGAGAAGGCTTCTCAAAGACACCCTGTCACTGTGAGGAGGCTCCAAGACACAGAGAAGAAACATCTGTATATACAGTTATGCCTGCAACTCTTTTTATGACCAAAAACACGATTTAAAAGCTCTACTGCTGCTACAATAAAGTAGTGTCAGTGTAACCTGCTAATCTTATACCTTCTGATGGCTCTGCTGTGGTTTCAGTATAGCTTATACCTTTTAGGCATTTTGATTATGTATTGTCGATTTGGATTTTTGCAAGCTTTCCAAAGTACCTGACAACATCTATAAAAGCAACTTTAACACAGTAGCAAATGAGTCTAACTATCAATTGAATTCTTATTTTCTTCGAGTTGTGTTGTTGATGCCAATCTGTAAATTATTGTTAATCTTTCAAAATAAATGTTGTTCATTGTAGCTGATGGTTATTATGGTCAACAATCATAACAAACTAAATAAGGATGTAACCCTATCCCAACCTGTGAGATGAAAACAACTGCTGGCAAATAGAAAGTCACAAAATTAGATTATAAAATCAAATCTAACTTTTTGCTTTCTGCAGAATGTATGGCAGACTTTTTGAGCAGATTTCCTCATCCATGTGAAAACTTCCTGTTTGCACAGTTTCATTGAGTGTGACCTGACACATGGATAGGACAGGATTTCCAGTTTGCAATTTTTCCAAATAAAAGCAATCACCTTCTAGGTTCACTCCCACAAATGGTCACTGTGGCCCTGAGCTTTAAAAACATCCCAGAGCTCAGGCTCTCCTGCCAACAGGATACCGTGTGTGTCCGCTTTTAAAATGACACAAATGGATACAGCAAGGGCTTTTCCCTTCAAAGTCACATTGAAGAAACTGAGAACCGACTTCAATATGAATATATGTTAAATATATAAAATGATGCAATAATCAATCATACATATATTTAATAAAAGAAAAACGAATCGCCTAATTATAGAAGGTATTTTTTGTATAAATGTAGGAATATATTACAAATAATGTATTTTGTGTATCACTATATCCAAGGCCCTTTACATTTATGATCATATGAACACTGCACATGGGGCCTGTATCTGCTTTGAAGTACTACGACGATGCAGTCAATCCAGAAAGTGAATGGTGTGTCGGGGTAAAAGGTACATCAAGCTCCAATGTGTCCATTTCAAATAGGACAAAGTTAAGTGGCATTAAAGAAGCTCATTGATGGATAGAAAAAGCCCTGTGAATGTGTGATAGGGCTTTAAATAAGTTGTGAGTGAGTCGCAGTGTAGTTGACTGAATTATTTAAATACCACAAATGGTTGTATATATACTCCATTGTTACTCTTTATTACAGATTTAAAGCACATAAACTGTAGAAAAACCTAAACACAAAACAGCTGCAAGTTTTCAAAAGCAACAATAATGCTGATACAAATATTCATTATTGCAGTGAGCACAGGAATACTAAAAAGATTACACTTTTGTTTACTAACAAAATTGGTACAAAATCGAGAATATAAACACTTCCATGTACACAATTCTAATCATTTCTGTGACACTTTCAGAAAGTTTAATCACAAGAAAACAAGAGCACTATTATCAATACAGAACTTCTTCAAAAGAACGTAACATCACAATGCAGCTGGTGTTGCTCATTCAGAGGGAAACTCATTCCCAGTGTGTCGAGCACTCTTTGAATGCCACATCTCCCAAAATGTAGCAATCAGAATAATTGATGACAAAGGTCTAATCCATCAAGCCAAAGCAGAACTATATACTTGTACAAGAATACAATTAACACTACCTTTAATAATAATCTATATGAAGCAGGAACACTTTTTTACCATTCATAGAATAAAACATTTGCTTTCTCATGCTTCCCTCATTTTGAAAAGTCATCATTTGAAACTATTGTGCTTTCATATCAAATAATATGGAACACGTATTGTTCAAGTTGCATAAGGCCATCAAAGCATTGTAAAGCTTCTTAATGATCACCCTGTTGGTGCAGGGTGGTGGTGAACTTCTTGATTCACTAATTGTGACAATGTCTAATAAATAACACATTGAAATAGTTTACCTAATTATTTGAGTTCAACATTATTTGCATTACTATAGTGCAGTGTGCCGTTATTTGAAAAGTGTGCCTGCTATAAATATTTCAGATTGAGTTCTAGTTTTTAAGGTTTATCAGACACATTTAAAGTGCTTTACAGTCATTTACCTAAAAAACACTTTCTAAAATCTTTGTGGCGGATGATTGCACTCTCTCATTTATTTGTATACACAAATATAATTCATCAGGCTAGGAAGATAAATGAGTACTGCATGAAACTGTATCTGCGTACTGTCAGCAGCTATCAGAGGTGCATGTGTTTGATATATAGTTTGTAATAGAACTTTTTGTTATACCAAAGTTCCTATTCAATCTGCCTATAACACAACATGACGCTAAGGCATTGTGAAACTGAAATATGAGAGAACTAATGCAAAGGAATGCTAAGTATTAAAACAAAACAAAAGAGAGTTAGTGGGCCTATTTATCATGTATACGCAGTGATTCCCGCAGAAATGAAATATACTTTGGGGGAACGACTCGGGGCGCTGGGGGGGGCACGCACCCCACCCCCTCCCCGTGAAAAATGTTGAGATTTTTTTTCTCAATTCCTGCATTCTAGTGAATTTTCATATTAACACTGCACTTCAGACAACCTACAACTGGTGATGGTGTCTAGGTCTTTAAGTGTTAAACAGCTGAGAGCAGTCACTGCTGTTTTTTGTGGTCTTCTTTCACACACACATCTTACCAAGTGGGAGCCAACACACGGGCACCGACCAAGAGGGCGCCCCACGCCAACATACGTGGAGGTGCTGAGGAAGGATGTGGGGGTAGAAAGCTCCACAGAGCTGGCCGGGTGTATGGAGGACCGTGAGGATTGGCGAACCCGTTGGCAAACTCGTCTAAGGACGACCTAGTAGTAGTAGTCCTTGATTGGCTCAAGTTCACACCTTTTTAGGGGCGGGGCTAGTGATGTTGTCCCGGGGATGCTTAGGAGTTGATAAAGGAGATAATCCCACTGACGTCATCATTTGATTCCAAAAGTGGGTCTGGACTCGCGCCCATAGAGGCTGTTTACCAGTATAATGGCTCCCCCCAAAGTATAATTTATGGGTGGCTCCCCCCAAAGTATAATTTATGGTTTTTTAAGTTTTTTTTTACTCACTGATCACTCATTGCCACCAATGCAAATGCAAATGAGTGCTCCCTGAGTAAAAAAAAACAAAAAACACACAAATTATACTTTGGGGGGAGCCATTATACTTTGGGGGCCCCCCAAAGTATTAACATGCTGTGGGAATCACTGATACGTTTGTAACCTTGAACCTCTGTCAGTGAAACGACCCAAGCAAACATTTTGGACTACATCCCCCTTTTACAGAACTGTTTGACAAAGTGCATATTAAAAACATTATTTAGGCCACCAATATTATCTTAAGGGGTATCACTCACACCAAGAGATATATCTGATACAAAGCAATAAGCATTACTATTTAAATCACTGCAGCCTCCAAAACTTTAAAGCACTTTTTCCACACTCTGAGAAAACAATGTATTTCGTTGTCACTGTACCTTTGAGTCAAAAGTGGTACAAGGATTGTGGGGGTGCAACGCTGTACCTTGTTTTCTCAAAACACCTAGATAGATAAATACAAATAGACAACTAAAACAGGTTTGAAATAGATAAATGCTTATTTTGAAAAGGAAAATAAACAAGTTAATAATCTCATCTCCGAGAAGAATCTAGCACTTGATTGCACATTCACGTTTACACCTCTAATGAACATGGCCACTGTTATATATATGATATAGGAGGCAAGCAAATACGCTATACATTCGAAGTCTTCCTTTTGTAGGCTGAGGTGTGTTAATATTCCAAGTATTGTGTCTCTAGAGAAATGCACTACTGTAACCAGTGTGAGGCTTACACGTGGCTATGACTCTGCTCGTGGCTCCAGAGACTGAAGGCTGTCTTGAAGGTCCTGTGACAGAGTTTACACATGTACTGCCTTTTAAACGTCAGGGCGGAGAGGGATGGAGCATGGTAAAAGAGTGTGTCTGATTCCTGAGGGCCACTGGGATTCTCCATGCTGTTGGACCTGGACAGAGCGGGGCTGTGGCTGCTGGCTTGCCGCTCGAGTTCAGGCCTCTTCGTCTTGTTTACTGACGAGCTACAGGGCTCCGGGCTGTTGGACTCCTCGGCCATTACTGCAGCCACTGGCGCCGTCTGGCTGGATGTGAGCACGGAGGCCTGTGGGGAGGGGTGGTCAGAGTTCTGAGGGGTGGTGGGAGGTGATGGAGACAGAGGTGAGGGGTCTCTGTCCATCTCTTTGGCCTCTGGTTCGTTAGAAGTCGACATGTGGGACTGGAAGTGGCTCCAAAGGCGGAAGTTGGTCCTGAAGGCTTTGTTGCAGATGTGACAGATGAACGGTTTGATGTGGCATAGCAACTCCTGGTGGCGTTCCAGGTCTTTGCGAGAGCTAAACAGACTTCCGCATTTCTCGCATGGCCACACACCGGGTTCCTCCAGCCCACCTTTAGCAGATTCTGAGTTTTCCATCTCACTCACAGCCTCCTCTAAGGGCTCTTCTTTCACCACCAGCTTGCCATGATGGCCCATGCTCAGGTCCTCAGGCACATAGGAGGAGGAATCTGAATCGTACATGGGTGGACCTGAGGAGTCGCTGTACGTGATGATCTCTCTGGAGCTCCCGGGTGCTAGAGGCTCGTCACTGTAGTGCTCCTCTCTGAGCATTTCAGACGCCCCTTCATTGTTCCCTTGCTGCTTCAGCTGAAGCTGCTCTTGGACTGTCATCATGTTGTGGTTGTGAACCTCCACCTGGTGGCGCCATATGCTGAAGGAGGACTTGAAAGTCCGCATGCATTCCAGGCACGTCAGTTTCTTGTACTTACAATGTGCCTCGTGGTCCTTCTTGACCGTTGGACTTGAGAATCGGAGGCCGCAGTAGGGGCATACAGTCGCATGTCGGCAGCCCCTCTCATGGTCGCCCTGCTCAAAGAGAGAAGACAGCTTCACATTACAGAGTCTACAGGAGTAACCACCAGCATCTGTGTCCTGCTGCTCGATGTTCTCCTCCTGTTCCTGGTAGAGGAGGCTCTCGTTTGCTGTTTCCTGGTCAGCTTTTTCAGCAGGATGTGTCCTTAAATGCTGTCTGTACTGAGACTGGAACATGAATACTTTCCCGCAGTAAGGACATATGAAGTTGGGTCTTGATCTCTTTTTGGTGAGTGCAGAAGATTGCAAACCCTGCTTATTCCTCTTTAATTTCCAAAGCAAGGCTTTCTTTATTTCCCTTTCTCGCACAATATCTATTAACTTCTTTTGAAATTTCTCATCTAGCACAGAGGAGCTGGAGGACGAGGCCGGGTTTTGAACTATGCCATGCTGAGTTTGGCAGTGAGTCCACACTTTGAAGTTTGTATGGAAGCGTTTGTGGCAGATTTCGCAAGCATACGGCTTTTCGGGGTTGTGATACATATTAACATGACGATGTAGTCCAGCACTCGACCTGAAAACCTTTAAACAATTCCAGCATTTAAAAATCTTGTTCTCAGGCGGCTCTCCAAGGTTTTCATTAGAGTCACCGCTGGCACTCTGAGGTACTATTTCTGACATGTTCTCATCCAGTGAAAGGGTATGTTCTTTAAATATTTTGCCCTTCTTAAATGGGTACCTTCTGTTATCTGGCCTGTCCTTTCTTTTCCCAAAAGGATTGAAGTCTGGCCGGGAGCCTTGATCGTAATTTGTCTGCAAGTCTTTGAGATTACCTTGCAAAGCATCTCCAACTGTGATTTGGACAATGTCCATGAGGTCAGGGAGGGGGCTGCTGGGCTCAGCTTTCACACTGACCTCTCGTTCTACCTGAGATTTTTCTTCATACCTGCTGGGGAACTTTGACCTGAGAACCAGGGGAGATGTTCGTTTTGAATTGCCATTGTAAGCAGATGTCTCTAGCCCAGATGGTTTTGACGCCATTTTAACAACTGATTGTTCACGATTCTGCAGCTCCTTGAGCTCCAGTGTTGGTGAGAAGACTGGAACAGGGCTGTCCATGGATAATGATCTACGGAGTAGGCTTTTTATCAGCGGCCCACTCCTGTCTATGGTCTGGCTTGGCTCAGAAGCCTGACCCTGAAAGGGCACTTTGGTGTGATAGTGGGGCTCCAGCTCCTCATTCTCCTCTTTAGTGTCCGGGTCAGTGACCGACTGCAGCCTGATGTGCTCAGCATCACTGAAGGACACTGATGATGTCAGCTGGGGACGAACAGATGTGACGTGTGATGGATTCCCTTTTAAAATGGAGGTGTATGGGTATGTTGACTTCCTTTCAGCAGCTTCACTCTGTTCACATGATTTCCCGCTGATGGATTCAGATGTTCTGACTGATTCATACAGGTTGTGTACTGATGGAGGATGGGCTGACTCTGGAGTAGAATTTGCAGAAGATGATCTCTCATTATTTGAGCGAGAGGGATTGATGGTGTCATTCCGGACCCGACGCACAATGACACTCCTTGTCTGGATATCATTCTCATCCCCTTCTGTGAAGGAAAGCCTTTTTCTTGACACACAGTAGGATGCATGTGGCCTTGTTGACACAATGTTGGTGAGGAAAGGGATTCCAAGACTGTAGCCTAGCTCTTGAATGGCTGCCAAGCTGCCTTTGTCCACAAAAAGTGAGGAGGAGTAAATGTAATTCAAAACTATCTCGAAGGCGTCAGGCTCACAGAAGTCCAGGTTTACAACTTTCAGCGACACTGCGTCCATCCGTGTGAACAGGGACTGGAAATACTCACTGGTGGCAGCCAGAACACTCTTATGGGCCTGGTACTTCTGGTCTGCCACAACCAGGACTACGTCACACATCTGTCCCCGCAGACGCTGCTCATTCAGGACCCCTAACACTGAGAGGGCATGGGAGGGATTGCTGTAATGCACGAGGCTCTCCATGGCTGAAAGACAAGACAAGAGGATTAGCTTTAAACACAGGAATGTCCACACAAAATGGCATCATTTAGCATGAGACAGGCACATGCATGCACATGATCTATTTTTAGGATTGTGTGCACATTCAAAGAAAGTGTTTTAAAGGGCTAAAAAACTGTTCATAAAACATCAGCATCGTCACAAAATTGTTACTCTAAACATCTGCATCGGCTGAGAAATTAGACATTGTTACATTACATGTTTCTGATAATACTATACTAATTCGAGAATATTGACATCCATGTAGTTGCAGAGGTGGGAGAAGTACTCAGATCTTGTACTCAAGTAAAAGTAGAAGTACTGTAGGAAGTCTAGGAACACTCTGTAACAAGAAAAGTTACAGAGTGTAAAAGTAAGTAATGCGTTCAAAAGTATTAGCATCACAATATACTAAAAGTACTCACTCTGCAGATTGGTCCATTTCAGAATAATATATATGATATGTTTTATAATGATTGATCATTAAAGTGTTATCAAAGCTGGTAAAGGTGCAGCTAGTTTGAATGACTTTGTAGGGCTCAACATTATAAATGTTAAATTAAATGAAACACTTCGGGCCGGCTGACCACTTGCCCGCTCGGGCCACTAAAAATATTGCAATAATGGTAGAAAACAAAACAGTAAGACAAAAATTCACATTGTCCTGTGGTATTGGTATTTTGACAAGCAGTTTTGTTTTCTTTAATTAGAGCTACAACATAGCGATTGGTGAGGCGGATGTCGTAATTGGATGAAAGGCAGAGAGCTGTTTGCTGCTGACTTTTCGCGGGACCTAACCATTCGCCCAAATGTTTCTAAAATGTTGCAGGTCCGCTGCAACTCTTACTACATTTAAATCCAGGCTCAAGACTTTTCTTTTTGCCGCTGCTTTTAATTGAACTGTTCATATCTTAAATTGCAATGTAACTTTTATGTTTCATTTTATTTGATTGTCTTTGCTTTTGAATGACTGATTTTAAATGCCATTTTCTTAATGTCTTTCATTTTTGTAAAGCACTTTGAATTACCTTGTGTTGAAAGGTGCTATATAAATAAACTTGCCTTGCCTAAAACCACAGGTAACAGGCCAAATGCCGGGGAAGAAATATATCTTCAAATAGAAGAAAGTCACCGGAGGAGTTAAAGGAGAGTGACAGGGAGTAATGTGACGAGTAGTAATGTAGTTTGTGAATAAATTACTATTGCAACAAATGTGTAAATGTTCTTCATTATTAGAGTCGATTTATTTTGACGAATGCTCCTGGGCCAATGGTTACAATGGTTGGGCCAGTGATATTGAAAATGTGGCTTTCACACCGGAGTACTTTTCCCAGTGGTACTTTTACCACTTTTACCCCTGCTTCTACCCCCAGTGTTTCCCCTATATACAAATAGCGGCGGCGCCGCTGCTGAAATATGCGCGCCGCTGCTAGGGGGCGCCAGCCAGGTACCAAAAAAATAAATAATAATAAGAATTATAAATAATAATAAGTGCCGACCCTTTTTGATTGTTTGTTATGTGGATTTGTAGTATTTGTGTTACTGTATGTTCAAAAAGGTTCATAAATCAAAGCCCTCGATTGGTCAATGTGGGTCATTCAAGCTCGGGAGGGTGTGTGTATGTAGAGAGATAGAGAGAGATAGAGAGAGAGAGATAGAGAGAGATAGAGAGGAGAGAGAGAGAGAGAGAGAGAGAGAGAGAGAGAGAGAGAGAGAGAGAGAGAGAACCGGTTACTTGTATCTTTGTAGTGCATCTGGTTAGCTAGCTGCTCTAAAAGACATAAGGAGCTGTTCAACAACAAGGTGGAGCGAGAGTCCTCTGCTGTCAGACTGAGAGAGATAACTACAGCTCAAGTGAGGTTAAGGACTCTGAGTGTTAGATAGTTAATTTTAGTCTAAGTTATCTCAGTGGGTCTCAAACAAATATGTGTTTACAAATTATATAAACACATATTTCCAAGGCACTCCTTTATAATTATTAGGTAAAAATGAAAACAGGTTTGAAATCATTCCAATGTATACTATAGGACAGTAAACCAAAAATATCGTTTAAAGTTGGAGAGATACAAAAATATGCATGAATAAATAAATGTTAAGGTAAAATAAGATATAAATGAACAACATAAATAAAATAAGTTACATTTATTTGTTATTGGCTATGGTAGGTTATTGGTTATGTTCACATACTTATTTGATTATTAAAATGTAAACCGATCTTTTTCATATGGGTGTTTAGTAGGGATGTAACGATATACCGAATATCGCGGTAAATAAACGTCCCAATACCTTCGTGAGACTGACAAAATCTACCGCGATTTTTTTAATTTATTAATTAATTATTTTTTTTAACACTTTTTTTTGTTTTAAACCTTTATTTAACCAGGTGGTCCCATTGAGATCATCGATCTCTTTTTCAAGAGAGACCTGTCCAGCAAGTAGGTTACAACATGAACATAAAACAACAGAACACAAAAGGACATCGTATTTACAGGGCTACATTTACACACCTAGAGACATTGACAAGTACCAACAGTATATTTATATCTCGCCCTGTCAATAAGCCTCACCTTCTTGGCAAAAACAGTATTGTTTTTGAAGTGGTGGAGAGACAATGCACAGTTTGACCCACTGCTGTCACCCATGGCCAAAGCATATCTCTCCGTCCCACTGAGGTGGCGTTAGACTTTTTCGCTGTCCGTCATTTTGACAGACAGGATCGTAAAATGTCCGTCATAATCCCTTATTACCCGTCGGGTCTGAACAGTTCACAAGAGAGCACGCTCGTGAACTGTCAACGGGGGGGGGCGGTGTTATGCCGTGTGTGCATGCACCTCGCGGGAGCGCACACAGCGTAAAGCAAAACCTCCCAGACATGTGTTGATCTGTAGGAAAAGTACGGCAAAGTACGGTTTGGAAACTATATCATTTCCTTTTGGAGGGCATGCATAACACGGCATAACACCAGAGCCTCGCTGCGGAGAAACGTTGGCGCTAGTTTGTTCTAATCTGTCAAAATGACAGACTGCTTTCAGATTTTTCCGTCATTGATAAATAAAATATTCGGTTAACGCGACCACTGCTGTCCCAGCAACATCAGTACCAAGCGAGAGAGTTTTTTCCAGAGCAGGGGACAGGGCCGGACTGGGACAATAAATCAGGCCGGGAATTATACACCCAGCCAGGCCACTACCAGTTTTCTTTTGTGTAATTTTCCTGGATTTATTTGTCAATATTTACAGCATTGCTGCCCATAGTGATAGCCCTAAACTTTAAATCTACTACCCCAGAATAAACATATGGACATGGGTTACTATTTTTTTTTTAAAATTGCAAATCTATTTAGGAACCTATCCATGTGAACATATTTTAAGTGGAGGTGGACCTCAAATCCTCTAGGGGGGTCCGGGGGCATGCTCCCCCGGTAAGATTTTTTTTTTTAAATGTTGGACTTAAATGCATCAATCTGGTGCACTTTGAGGGGGAAATAAAGAGACTACACCCATATGAAACAGAACTGTATACATTTAAATAATCATAAAAGCATAAGAACATGGCCATAACCAATAACATACCATATCCAATATGAACAAACATTGAAACTTGTTTATTTATTTGTTTTTGGTTCATTTATAGTTGTGAGTGTGTCTGGGCTCCTGAACCAGCCTGACCTGTCTCCCTCATCTCCCCCCTGCTCCTCTTTGAGGCAGCAGCAAAGACTAGTTTTAGCTCTCAACAAGTTTTAAAAGTGTATCTTACCTTTTTTCACCTAGTTAACTTTTTATTTATTTATTCATGCATATTTTACTAATCACCTCTCAAATGGAAATAGCCTATGTGTTTACATAAATGGTGACCAAACCGTTTGAGACCCACAGAGAACTTAGACTAAGTTAACTATCTAAACACTTTACCTCACCTGAGCTGTAGTTATCAGTCTCTCAGTCTGACAGCAGAGGACTCTCCTCCACCTTGTTGACAGCTCATGATATCCGTTAGCGCAGCTAGCTAGCACCAGATGCTAACAACAATACACGTAACCGGTGCGCGTGCTTTATCTCACTCGCTCGCTCGCGCCACACATACACACACTCCCGAGTTTGAATGACACACAGAGACCAATCGAGGGCATTAGTATGATCTGTATGAAAGTGGCCATGTCGGCAGGCCACATTATGTAGACAGCCAGTCACCCTCTGTGAGGCAGAGTCAGACCCACATTTGCGCAGCGTTGCGTTCACAATACATACATAAAAAACAAAAATTCCTCAGGCCAGCAGGCCACTTAACAGGCCAGGCCATCGGGAAACCTCCCGGTCCTCCCGATGGCCAGTCCAGGCCTGGCAGGGGATATTGTAAATGCCCAAACATCCCAGCTTATAAATACCTGGAAATGTGGACATTCTCATATTCCTAAAAACCTGTCTGATGATGCTGAGTGAGTGACTAGTGAGTTTGAGTTGAGTTACTTGAAAAACTAAAGTGAAACTTGATTTATTTTATTGCAGGGTCTGATTATTAAATGTCCTTGTTTATTTGTGAGATGCAGTGGCACAAAGAAAATGCCTACTTTGTTTGGTAGTACTATTAGGTACAAAAACACTGGTTTTCTTGTTCCAGTCTGTTACTGTCACTTTGTTTTTTGACACTTTAAAATACTGCTATCCTACTAAAATGCTGTACAAATTAGATGTATTATGTAATAAAGAAACATTTTCCGAGTAAAAAAATGTTTTAATGAAAAAAAAAAATCGCGATATTATCGTACCATGAGTTTTTGGTATCGTTACATCCCTAGTGTTTAGAGTTGTACCCCCTAGATCAGGTCTCTAGTAATTGTGTGCTCAAAGTGCACCAGATTGAAGCATTTTACTTTAAAATGTTCAAAAAAAATCTTCCCGGGGGGGCATACCCCGGGACCCCCATAGAGGATGTGACGTCCACCCCCCAATTAAAACATGTTCATACAATACTGAAGAAATTTGAAGCCATTTTGACGTATATTACCTATGTCAATACGTTTCTGTTTTTGTAGTGTATTTGTCTTTTGTAGAGATTTTTCATTTAATCTTTATATATAAAATCTCGCCTAGGGCTGCAAATTGTCTAGAACCGGCCCTGGTACTAGGCCTCAAGAGCCTTTCTTGTGCTGGCAGACTCATAGAAACAAATTGGCGGGGCGCACTTCGCACGCACTAAAAGATTCCACGCGCTCCACGCTCACATTATGCTGGGCCCACGTGCCTTAGCACGAAACACTGACCCCTGCTTTGTATACTGCAGGGTAGCTTGCGAATTTACTCCAGGTGGAACTAAAGTCTGATTTAAGACTTGATTATATTTCACATCATTCATCCAGATCTGTAAAGTAACTAAAGGTATTAAATACATGTAGTGGAGTAAAAGGACACCATTTACCTCTGAATTGTAGTGGAGTAGAAGTACAAAGTAGCAAACAATTAAAATACTTAATGTATTTGTTAAAAAATTGAGAACGGACAAGTATCTCAAAATGTTACTTAAGTACAGTAATCTACGTAGTTACATACCACCACTGCAGGTATGTTATGTGTGCTAGCATTCTAGAATTTCACACTATACATCAAAAAAAGAAATGTTAATTGTGTTTCCAATTGTTTAGTTTTTCCCTTAAAAAATACCTTTATTGTACCAGATCGATCAGCAGTATAGTAGAGTAGTAGTACCGTTAAAATCTTAACGATACCCATCCCTATTTACCTCTGAATTGTAGTGGGATAGTTAAGTACAAAGTAGCAAAACATTAAATACTCAATTAAAGTACAAGTCCCTCACAAATTGTAGTTAAGTACAGTAGTTGAGTAAGTGTGCTTGGTTACTTTAAACCACTGTGTATTCGTACTTCCACTCAAGTAAACCATGGAGAAATGTCTTTCCCACTGGGCTGTTGTTAGAGAGCAGTTTGAACTAGAGAATGCAATTCCTGAAGAAATTGCTAGTGGGAATGCTTTATGCTGAAAAGCTGACGCTAAACTGCTATGCTGAAATGTAATGTGAATAATTTAGATTGAAATGATACATGAACAATGGGGGCTTGAATGTGTGATGAGAGAAGAAAATAAAGTAAAAAGGCTTGGAAAAGCAGCAGAATATTTGAACTGCAAACTTTTGAACTAACTTGATGGCGAATTATCTGTCGCCATGCCAACGGCATTTGATGACACCCCATAATACGCTTAAATGCGTTGATGCCTGCATCGTTACCAAACCTGTGAAGTTTTGGGCCATTTCGAGCATTTTCACTGAAGTTATGAGAAAACCGTGTTTCATGGCGAGCATTGTGTTGCCATGGCAACGGCATTTGAATAAATCTCAAAACTGTCCCGTAGATGTCTTCACGGCTGGACTGTTAGCACACATGTGAAGTTTGAGCACTTTTTGAACATTTTCATAGGAGTTATAGCGACATCGTGGTTTATGGCGAGGGATGCGTTTCCATGGCAACAGCCTATGGTGAGATTTCAGATTTGGCATAGAGCTGTTGAGGCATGGAACAGTGATATACAAGCGAAGTTTGGGGGACGATCGGACCGTGTCCATTGGAGTTACAGCGACATCGTGTTTTATGGCGAGGGATGTGTTTCCATGGAAACGGCATATGATGACACCCCATAATTGACGTAGAGCTGTTGAGGGCAGGACCATTAGCCTTTATCTGAAGTCTGCTGCTCTGAGCATGTCAGTTGGAGTGACGACATCATCGTGTTCCATGACAGGTGTTTATATTTTAGCTAACGATGTGTCCAGAGATCAAAGGTTTCCATGTTTTTTTCTTCTAAATTAAATCTGTCCTCCCCTCTAGCTGTGACACATCACGCACTCTAAAATCTGAAGAAGGCCTCTTTACCAAGGTCTAATATCTGTAAAAGTACGAATCAGATTTAAAAGTTGTGTATGAGGTTTCTGAATGAAAGTATGAATGAACAGTTAGCAGTTGAAGTTGCATGAAGATTGTTCAAGTCTAGAGAGTTTCTCCATTTACTTCTATATTAAAAATGTGATGTATTATGGGATATATCTCTGGAATTATGAAAGTTATGAATAAGAAAAGTAATAGCCATCGATTCCCGACCGAGCTGAACGTTTTGATGTTTGAACGGAGTTTCTGCGATGTGGAATGTGGGAGAAGAAGAGGTGCAAAATAACCCGGCGGAATAATAAAGAATTTCGTGCGTATCATAACAGATAGTTGGACAAAAATTGGTAGGTGCCCATCACTTATAATCTGGCAAATTAAAGTGTTTTATTATCCAGTAATAAGACAGCAATTGCCTCAAGGCATTGTGTGCAACGCCTCTAGCAGGAGCATATGGTGCTAATTATCTAAAGATACGACACTTCTTAAGAAGTTTATTTTGAAAGTGCTGACCGGAAGTCGCGCTACTTATTTTGACACTTACTAAAAATAGGCTGTGGGCAGAAGCTTCATTCATTCATCAAAACTAACTAGACTCGGCTGTCTATTCGGTACAATTTAAACGTTAAAAGAACAGCTAATTTAACTTCTGTCCGTATTCTATGAGGAAGTCTTGGAGTGAGGCTTTCATAATTATATCATACATGAGACGTGGCTCTATTTCTCATGACACATAACTTCTTCAACCGAAATCCCACTTTCAGTTCAGAAAACAGTCACGAGTTTCTCATTGTGTGTGTGGGTGAATGACCATAAAACGGTTCCGCCGCCACTCTATCTCATCAGGTGGGGGGGAGTTGAACACGTTTCAATGGACTCCTCCGCGGTAATCCCGCAATGAAAATACAGTCGGTGCAGACAGAAAAGCTGTTGAGTTTAGGGGGAGTGTATTCAAGCCCCGGTGGAAGTGGTGTTTTTTATTGTTAACGCTTCAACCCTGCGTGACATGGCGTAGTTGTTGGCTGCAGAATATGTGTTCAGGTCTTACAGCAGCACAAGCCCCCTTTCGAGTTACGTCAGGGAGGAAAAGGAAAAGGAAAATGCTTCTCCTTAACAACACTCTACCAACTATGCTATAACATGCCTACTAATTCTGTTTAAAGGTAAGTTATGTAGTCTATCTACACTTACCCTGCCCGTCGTCAATTAGGTCTTTCCTCCGCACAGCCGGGACTTTATTCAGTGTTGTTGTGTAGATTTCTGCGCGCTGGTCGTGATTCCATCCATCTTGAATTTGACGTCATCCCACACCAGGGATGAGGTCATCGCAATGAACGCTCGTCACGTGCACTGCGCTCTGATTGGTTGGTAAAATGACCAGGAGGCGGGACCAACTGAAGACTTGTCACTGAAGCTAATTTAAAGAGATAGGTGGTATTTTTCACATTAGCTGTCATCGTCTGTGTTCCTGTTTTGTTTTATCATGAGCAAAGGTTTGCAAACTTAAGCTACACTGCAAATTGTAATTGACACTGTTTTACTAGAGCACTGCATTGTAATTATTAATTATAAGCATTGTTGAAACTAAGTATAGGAAGTTTGAAGTCACATGTCTTACAGTAAACAGTGCAAGGGAGGAGCAAGTGGGGCGTTAAACAAAAAAAGTAATGTACAGTTAAGGCACATATTTTTATGCATTTCAAATAACCAAAGTCCATCTTTAGATTTTTAGCAAATCTAAATATACATTTCAAGTATTTTGTATTAGTCATACGTACATACTGTAGCTACAGTGTAGTTATGACGATGAAAATCGTAGGTCACAGTCATTTTTTTGGGTTACCTATTTTTCTGTATCCAACAATGTGCAGATATAATATGTGCAACTGCACTTTCTCTAAACCCCAATGAAACCAATTAGGCCTGTGATTAAATGGAAGTCATCTTAGCATAGTAGTAAGTGTGTGTGTCATTACTGGCATCCAGGAGGGACCTGTTGCTATGTTTATGTCCAACAGGTTGGTTCCTGAAAAGCATTGACAGCTACACCCAACCAGGTGGGACATTGCTGAAGAAAAGCAGGACATCGACATAAAACCATGTTCTAATGAGCTGAAGATTATTTTGTGGTGTAACTGTATTTAATTTGTGGATACATTAGTTGACCCTGAACCTCCCTACATGCTCCATCGCATCAACATGTACCCATTCATTATCACCTAATGACTGAAGGAGGTTTAATCAAGCACATGTTCACACCTCATTACTATAAAAGGATCAGCATTAAATTAAGGACTTCATTTGCAAAATGATACATGAAAATATTAAAAATAATACTGAGGACTGTAGTATTTCATCAGATGCAAATGTATATTCATACAAAATGAAAGTCATGACAGAATCCTAACATAGTCTTTTTTAAGAACATTTGACAGCCAAAGCATGCTGCTGCTCCATCATATAATGAGAGAAAACACATGAGAGGAAATGGAAGGAAGTTGTCACTCCTCCTCTCCTGACATTAATGGCTGGTACTGGCCGTTAGCAGCAGTAGAGAGCACTGCCATGGCTACCTGTAGAAACCAAGTCATTAGGGACTTTGTCTCCTCCCATCGCATGTCTCTGTCCCTGCCATCATAAACATGTTTACTGACACCCCCATCAAAAAACACTTATTTATTCTACAAAACTAAAACTGAAGCCTGAGTTTCCTTTGTGAAAATCGTGTAAACCAAAGGCTTTTCATTTTGTAATACACTGGCTCATTCACGGCATATGTCGTAGCAATGAAAGGTGTCAAATTATCTCACCATTTAGATTTTCTTGCAAAGCTTAATGTAATTTAACTGCACTGACTAATGATACTCCAGATATTCTCATACATATAATACTAACCTGCTGGCTGTCATGATTCTGTAGTCCATTAGGGACTGATGGTGCACCGAGGGGAGGAGAAACACAGCTACAGAGGATTGAGTGTTTGAGAACGCCCTGAACAGTGAGTTAGCATCATCTCAAAGAAAAACATGCACGTACAATGTGGTCCTTAAATACATGGTCGAGATTTTGATCTGTGAAAAATGAGTTGGATGCTCTCCATCTGCGTGGCGACGGCCCTGCTGGCTCTCTGTAGGGGACAAAACACTGAGCATGAAGGTAGGCCTCTATACGCAGATTAACATGCATTTGTTGTATAGAACATATCTATGGGAAATTAACGCTAATTGTTTTTGCCTGCTTTCATTTGTTTTTAAGATGTTTAATGTCACAGATTTAGGCTTGTGTTATACTTAAAGAGCAACTCTAAATCCTTGCAATTAAAAATGCAAAATCTGACGTTATTATGCAGACTTACAAGGAAACTCAGCAGTAAGATTTACATGTTTTTTTTATTCTAGGAAATAGCCTGTCTGCATCTGGCTATCGTCTTTGTACTTATAATGAGACAAGGAATGTGAGTTTACTGGTGATGCACGCGGTCCCCTATGCTGTGACGAAGCCTTGTGGAGGCTGGCTCCACTGGAAGACATGTACAGTCACACTTTACAGGATGACCCATGAGACTGAGACCAGGACAGTGAAGCAGCAGGTGACCCGATGCTGCCCCGGCCACGTACAAGTGGGTCGATACTGTGCCCTGCGTGAGTACTGTCATCAGATTACAGAAGAGCAAAAAACGTTGTTAAATTCCAAGTATCTTCGTTTAATAATGTGTGATAATATAGCATCACACTCTCTAGATAGACAAGTAATGAGACCTTTCAGCGTGTGGTGCTGTGTGCAAGACGCCAGATGGAGGCACAGAAATTGCAGTGCTCCAAATATCGGGCTGCTAATATATGGCCTGTAACATGTTATTTCCTCTGAATGAAGCTGTAAACAGGAGTGATGAGTTCACTGCCAAGCCAGGATCCTGTCCAACTGCAGATGGGGTGCATAACAGATCTGAGGGCTGTGAGTGGGACATTGACTGCCCGGGCTGGCAAAAATGCTGTCAGAGTTCCAGTTGTTACGTCTGCAGTGATTCTGCAAGTTAGTTGATCTTTTTCATTATTCGTTTTTCAAGAATGCTTTAGGGGTTGTTTTTTTGTTCACAGATTTGAGTTTGAGTTTGAATGAGAAATTAGAAAAAAACTGTTGCACTTTATAAAACAAGAATTGTATGTATATGTCCTAATTATCTGGGGATAAACCCCTGACCCCCCCTATACCAAATAAATAGCCCTGTAGGGTGTATGATTAATAATTGAAAAGAAAATTCTCTGTGACCCAACATTTTTTTTAATTTCCCCCCAAACTTCTATCTTAAAACCAGGGCAGAATGCAAACATTACTTCATAGGGACGTTACAAACAAAGGGTTTTGTTCATTTTCTTTTTGCTGGAGAAAAGGAAGTCTGATATTATTTACAGAGCAGAGTCTTTTTTAAATGTCTTATCCAGCTTTTGACTGCACTTGGATCCTTTAGGCACTGACATATGAACACACTGTTGTGCACCCTTCTTTGTTTGGCCTACATGGTGTCAGTCAATTGAGGTTTATTACAAAGTTGTGGAAGTCTTGTTTTTTGATAAAAGTGATACATACAAGATTCCTACAGTAGTTAATACTTTTCCTACATTCCACTATTGTGTATCCTAATTGAGAACATATGTTTTCTTAATGATTTGAGTGAACTGACCTTTTGAACTCAACTTTCAGACTCAACATATTATTCTGATAATGGAGGCTATCGGTTTAATGCAACAGTGACAGTGAAGACAGATTACCAGCCTCTGATGTCCACTGACAGAGGACTTCTGGATCACACACGATTGCTCCAGGCGATGGTAATACTGCTGCATAACACTGCTTTAACTGCAGCTGTTGGTTCTGCTGCTGCTTATCTGAAGCCAGATACTAATACTTGTTCTACCAATTCTGATTATTAGAACACGACAAAGACTTAAATATATATTAAGGCGTGTACACTGAAAAACTGAAACGTTGACTTTAATTAAATGTGTTATGTCAACTGATTTGAAGTTGAAAGCAATAATATTAAGTTTAAATGAAAAATATAAGGTTCAACTTAATATTATTGCTTTCAACAAACCTAATAGAGTTGTGTGAAATCTTTTGAAATAATACATTTAATTAAAGTCAACGTTTCAGTTCTTTCAGTGTGCCCCTTAGTTTTGAGTCATTTTTCTTTACAAAATAAATAATGTTACCCAGATTATATTTTGTATCTCTATACCACTAACAGGTGACTGGAGCACTGCAGTCTGACGTTACAGTTTATTACCTCAGCTCACATCCTGTGCATCCCTTCAGAACGGCCACCTCCATACTGATTGCCTGCAACTTGACTCTTTCACTGCACACTGTCACGTCGGAGCTGCATCTTCTCCTCAAACACATACAGGAAGTGTCATCCGTAACTGTGGAAGGTGAAGGCGCAGCAGCAGCAAATCTCAGTGAAGATACTCCAGGCTTTTTTCCCTTTGCTTCAGAGAAATGACATTCTTGTTGAGTTGTGAAAGTGATTCATGTTGCAGAGAACACGGTGTTCAGGAAAGAATGACTCAGTCGCACCACAGTTTCCTTCTCCCACCACTTCCATTTGAGTGACAGTCATCTTTCCTGCAACAGCGGAAATAACACTAGTTGCGAGTGCACACACACACACACACACACACACACACACACACCACACACACACACACACACACACACACACACACACACACACACACACACACACACACACACACCACACACACACACACACACACACACACACCACACACACACACACACACACACACACACACACACACACACACAACCCCACACACACTTTTCATGCTTGATACATTTGCACAAAAGACACAACAACAAGCTTGTCATAACATCAAACATATGAGAGGACAAGGGAATCAATTCAAGTACATTCAAAAAACTGAAATGTTGACTTGAATAAAAGGTATTATGCCAAGATTTCACATAACTGTATAAGTTTAAATACAAAATATGAAGTACAACTTAATTGTATTTCTTTCAACTAACCTAAATCAGTTATGTGATATTTTTTGACATAATACATTTAATTAAAGTCAACGTTTCAGTTTTTTCAGTGAAGCAGTATTCTTCCATGAAACCTTTACAATAGATTTTCTAAAACAATATACTGTCTGTGTTCATATTGCACAGTTTAAATGTATTTCCTCTTAAGACTCTTGTAGTCCAGTGTAACATGTTTGTGTGTGTTTGTAATGCAGATGTGGATGAGTGTGCACTGTCTGCTCTGCGTGGGTGCTCTCCCCACTCAGACTGTAAC